TGAACGGACAATAATTAACAATTCACTTTTAATCTGAATAAGAAAATTGTGGATTTCATATAACAAGTCCAAACTTAAGCATTTGAAAATAATTCTGGTGAACGGTTACATGTTCGAATAAGTTATAATGTTGACAGAAAATCTTGAAATCATAAATTGGCTCATTCACAATTCAGCTCGTTTCTTCAAGTTGACTTTTTGACTGGATAAAATAATCATACCTTACACTTTGAATATGAAATCATCTGTCTGTAAAATCTGATTGATTTGGGAAGTAGACGGATGTTCAAAGGTCAAATAACAAGTATAGGCTTACTAAACAAAGAAATATGTTAGATTTCAATGTGGATACCAGTATCATGCCACAATACTTTCCATCTAATTAATAATAATAATAATAGTAATCTATATATTCTGAAAATAATAATCACAGAATTCACACCAGTTGACAGGTATGATCAATTTGATATAAATAGTAACATTAAATGTACAGAACAAACATGTGATAGAAGTAGGTTTTAAGTATACTAGTTCAGTAGTTGTTTAAGTAGTACATATATTACAGTGATCCAATGCATCAGCCTGGAATTTTTAATATTTCTTAAATGGACTGCCTGTTGATTTATGAACGGAGAGTAATTAAGGTCAATTCGTGTGCCAGATCGAATTAATGATAATTATCTACAACTCGAGATATTAAAACGAAAACTGAGAGCACGGAACAACAAAGCAGTAATTACCAAAATATGTCAATTAGGTCTACCGAAATGCGTGGGTCATGTGACACAGTGATATACTGTTGATGTTATTCAAATTAGTTAAACTTGCTGGGGACAGTGTTAACATAAAGTGACAGCAAGTAGGTGGTTTTACTTAGGGAATGCATTACTAAAGATGGCTAAATATTTAAAGTTTCTATAATATCACTTGCGGAATGAGATACAATTACAGGTGCTAGAACATTCAATAGATGCATCGATGCAGCGAACAAATAATGGTAGTGATTTTATCGTATGGATAGATTGTGGTAGGTTATTCCAGAGTCTTGAAAATTTACAGGTAAATTAATTCATATAAAGAGATGATTTAGAATAAGTTTGTTTTCATGCATGTGAAGGAGATAGACTTTATTGAGTTACTAGTCAGATACATAACTCTTGAAGCAGAGCCACTTATGATTCCTACACCATTCTCAAAAATACCACTGAAAAGATCTGCTATAGTTTTAGAATCGTATATAAAAGTGCTTTTATGTTGGATGCATGGTATATCAACATTTTGAGTTACTTTAGAGCGTTTATTGAAAAAGAGAGTTAAGTTTTGTACCTTTGAGTTAGTACTAAGTGCTAGTATCTTGAATTTGAATGTACTAGATGTACTTGTTATTGTTTACTGATTTGAGGTCTTGCTAAATTATGTTAATCCAATCTGTTTACAAGTAGTGAATATAGAGTACTTTATCATTTAAATGTGTTTCACTTCCAAGGTTTACTGATATTTAAACTATTTACTATAAGCATAGATTTAATAAACAAAATGACTTGCTATATTTTAAAGTATATACCAACATTCCAAATGTATGATGTTTCCAACCATGTAGGAATTAGAAACAACAAAGGAATGTATGAATTCATTATTCTTAGTTTATTTAAGTTCACAGAAACAAAACAAATTCTGTGGTTTGACCATAATAGCACAAAGTGTCACGCTTTAGTATTACCGATAGTTAGATTCTACAGCTTTCCGTTTAAATGAATTAGCGTGTTGATTGGAATTTATTTAAACTATTGCTTTGCTGTGTATACTAGTATCTCAAGTCTTAGCAGATTTCAGTCCAACATAACCATTGAGCCCACAAGTACAACTGCCATTCCTATGTCTTATTTCTGAAGTTTTCTGTACCGTTTTCATCAATACATTTGTTGCAGTATTTGGACTCCCTTGTTTCACAATGGCTGATATTTTATTTGACCGCTGATGGTGTATGGGAAATAGAGAACGTGTATCCTATTGACTTTGAGAATTTTAAGATGAGTGAAACATCACCTAAATGCATGAATCAAAACCTCATTGTGCTAAATAAAATCATCACTGACTTGTAGTGAATTTTCATCGATCTATGAAAGCACTATACATATTGCGTTGATTAACAAAAAGCAAATAATTTTGATGTCTAGTGGATAAATCACAAAAGAATGCACATAAAACATAAAAATTGAGATGGTTCAAGGCCTCTTACAAAACAGAATGCAACTGGTTAGTATGTGACATTCAATAGGGCGGTCTAATCAATTGCGTGTCCACAATCCTCATGTAATCATTGATAAAGTTATCAATGAAGAACTGATCAGCGTCTAACTTTAGACTGCAGTGTTTTGATGCAAGCATATTCGTATATATCAGATGTTTAAAATCACAAATATGTACCGAGATATGTATTATGACGGGATCAACAGTCCATATATGTGACAAATTGCAGAGCATGTTTTCAGTTCGATTCATATTATCTAGTCGTGTCCACTTTGCTCAAAGTTTTCTGCTTCCCATAGACATATCATATGAAGTTAACTTATATGAATTTTACAGTGTCCATTGTGAGTTATACCGAAAATAAAATGTGTTGATATTTCTTCTTAACGACTGTTGTTCTTTGTCGGGGAAAAATGTATAATGACAATATAAAATACGGCATTTTACAAATACTATAATACGGTTGAAAAATATACTTTAAATGAGTCACATTCTGATCACATTTCAGATGTCATTGTAGCACATATCGGCTGCTCTCACAAATCATATATGCAATGTAGAATCCATATTCAATATTATGATGAATCCATTGATATGTCAATTGTTCCTGAAATAGTCTTGAATCCAGATTCCTCTGATGTGATGTCGCTCACATAATTGGAAAAATTAAATTAAGTCACCAATATTAACAGTTCGAAATTCGTGGTAAGGCTCTATGAGTGCTGTGGTAGAAATGAATATCTATTTAAGATAAAAGATAATAACTCACACACTGACTCAAAAGTTCATGCATAACTCAGAAAACTGAAGTCAATTGAAGATAAAATGTATGCCAATTTCATCTCGTCATGAATGTTTATTACGGTCACATTTGTACATAGCATGCTGTGTTTTCACAAAACTGTATGATGAACAGTCATCAAATCTCAGTATTTGTTTTAATAATCTACAAATACCCAATGAATCTGATCAGATTCATCATGTCTATTGAGAGAAGGTGAATTTCACACACAAAATCGTAAACTCTGTTTCAATAATTCCAAGTCACTTCAATTGTAATAGAACCACCTATTGATCCTATTGAGTACATAGCACATACAAATGCCCCATTCGAATGCTTCGGAGACAATACGAGCATACATGCATCACATGCATTGTTAATAACAAGTCGAAATGCAAAATAATTCTCATTTTACAATAACACACCTCCTTATTCATTAATTTCGGTGTGATTACACTTCTAAATCGAGAATCAGACGGGATAGTAGAATGAAGAGTAATAGCTTACTATGGTAATTATATAAATAATGATTAATTCACAAGGATAATTTGCATCAACTATAATGAATCCCTCATTATTATCATTTGATGTTAATGTTAGGTTGACTTTCTATTTTATTTGTGGATGTCTACACACATCATTGACTATCATATAACCGTTCAATTCTCACTAATACAACACCATCTGCCAACACTACCAGTACCATTATTAATACTAATATTATCACTAATATTCTGGTGTGTGCTACTTATATTGACATAAGTAGTATATGATGTTAGTCGTAAACAGAAGGTCAGGCAGCAGACAGACAAGTGGATCGAACAGTAAATGATGGAATCAGAATGCAATTTGTATGAAAATGCAAGAACAATGAAGTCTGAGTCATTATGAGACAATTTATGGACAGTTTGCAAATTACATATTTACTATTTGATTGATAGATTTTATTGACACGCCCTGTAATTTTGTGTTAAATACATTTGATTGTCCCCACAATACTAACATCACAACTACCACAACGACAATTCTAGAACTTCTCTATAATTTCACAATTATGTATTTCGATTGTCATCTCACTGGTCGGAATTTATGTTTGATGAGTATTTTTGTTACTTATCAGTAGTGGTATCATTCACATTTATTTTCCACCACGACTTGTCGACAAATGTATAGAATTCAAACTATTTGGGAGCACAGATTACTTTCACACCAAACAAAATTCGGTTACACACATCCATTTCAATGCTGACATGCAATTTCTAACTATCTCTCTCACAATACTCATCTTTATGGAAATCCTCCAATTAGTATTTTTCAACCAATCGATATTCATTAACTGTCTGGAGACCGATTCTATGTCAATTAATCACTTCGCCTGCTGTTGCTAAGCCAGTTGTATAGATCAATCAATAAGGATTCTATGCACTCCATTTAGTTTTAAATTACTCTTTATAATGAATCAATGATAGTCGACTCATAAGTAACAACAAGAATTATTGGTTTACCATTACACATTATTGACATGAACGTATATCAATTAGGAATGTCCATGATGACCAACAAGTTTTACACCTTAATCATAATCAACCACATTTATTGAAATTTTTCACATTTCATTACCAGACTGCAAATTGGATTTTGTAACACTCAATTAATTCGTCCCACTTTTGCTGAACATATGCTGAATTTGTGTACAATGTGAGTGTTTCAGTATCAGATGTTGCACATCACCCGTCACAATAAAATCAATAGAGTTTCCAACCATTCAAACCATCTACATTCCAATAACACACAAATAAACCGAAATAAAATTGTCGAGACCTCACTCACTTAAAACAACAACTCAAGATAAACTTATATATTTAGCCACTATTTGTAGTATTATTTTTTGGTTCGTTGCACGCCCTGTATTTGCCTCCGAGATTTTGAGGTAATTTCTCCAAAAAGCATCTCCAAGTGTCAGCCAAACGTGTGTATAAATTGGTCCTGCAAAAAAATTATTAATCGAATTAATGTTTATAATGTAGATGACTAAAAGAATTGCTCATTTACTGAAATGATGCTGGTGCTTCTAAACATGATCTTCTCAGCAACAACTCGATGATCAGTAAAGAAAACTCGACATTAGTCTCCATAGATGCGTGTGGAATGTATATTTTCAAAAATAGTATGGAAATCAGATCCCTGTGTTATTCTGTAAGTCAATACTTAAATCAGATCCCATCCAGTTGGCAAGCCAACAATTGAATCAAACACACATCATGAATTCCCAAATCAATATAACAATAATCAACGAAATAAGAAAAATATCACTTCCATTGATTGTGTTTTATAATAACTTCAGTAATAAAAGATTTAGAATTGAAGAGTGACATCCAACTTACCACGTATCCAAAATAAGGATTCTTAAACAAGAATTTGTCAACCACATTGATTACTCATGCATATTTCAATTATTAATAACAAATCACAATATCTAGCATTATAATATGAGGCTGAATTGAGAGGAACGTGATGATGGAATGTTATCAGAACTATCCCTGACATTCATTTAACATAACTTCACCAGATTCCATTCAAATTCTTGAGGTAGATATCATCTACTTAACATGTTTCCCAGAATATTTCCGGTGTAATTTTTACCAACTATGTTGAATCTATCAAACACAAATGTAACACAGTTGAATAAGACAAGTCACGCTCAAATATGAAGTAGTATTCATGTTGGAAGAACTCACTATTTAACCTTTCGAAGTGACTAATAACATCAAGTTCGGATTTTCACCTACCAACCTTACACGCATGATACCAAAATCGACAACTAACTAATGAGTAATTCTTCATAAATATGATCCTCATTTTTGGATAATGTAGCACAAACCACATTTGTAATCTACGACGTGAGGGAGATAGGTTGGAAGCTGCCACTAGTTTTGATCCGTGATGAAGTTCTACTTAAACGCTATTGAGCAATATCATACTAGGACTAAATAGTTGATCAGTGTCATCCAGCAATCGACGACAACCAAACGAATTTCAAACTCAGCTGTGAAACATAGTTCATGAATCGTCAATCTTAACAATCACATAAATTGACAAATGAAAATAAACCTAATAAGTCAATATTTACTGACCATCGCTAAATTCACATTTCGATTACAAATGACATCATCGATAAACCAATTAAACAAAGAGGATTTCTACCCCAACTATTCAAGAATATCTCAGTCAATACAATATTCATATTAGCTTTTAAGTAGCAAGTTAATTGTTCTCGGAAAATAAAGTCAAACTAAATAGTAAACTAGTGAATCCAATTCTCCCATATTTTGTGTCCCATACACTCAGAGACAGTAGAACACATTAGTAAATAGTATGTCTAAAGTGAACACTTCCTGAATAAACATACATTGGAAGAGAGAAGGACAAATGAGACAGAGAATATATCAGGTGAATTAATGACATTAACAAAATAATTATTATGCTTACTCCACATCGAAGATCACTAACAAAATCATTGACATTACGAAAATCAACATCGATAGTTTGTGTTGTAATGTTCTGATTAGAATGGAACAGAGCAAATCTATTCATTGATGTTAAATTACTGATAGTCAGTATATCTATTGTCGACTTGAATGAAATGAACAATCATAACTACCTACAATGCTTCAATATCATGAGTAGTTATTATCAATATGATGGATGTGATCAACTTACACACTTACTTCTTACAGAATATGTTTCATTCATATCCTCTAATGCTAAAACCTTAAGAACTGTTTTAACTCATCTGTGAGAAACACAGAGATACACACTACTCAGACTGTTTCTCATAATGTCACCTTACTGAAGGCAAATATTCCATAAGATATCATGCAAACAGTTTATCGTATCAGATTTCTGAACACAAAATTATTTGCACTAAACATTGTTGCGACTATTCGTGTTACCATTCTGTGTTTGATTCACTTAGTAATTGACACTCATGAGTAACATTTCACATTATTCTGTTCCACTTACCTCCTTTTCCTAAAACAACAACAACAATAAATGGTAATATCGTGTGATGCTAATTGATGCTAAATCATAACATATTCTTCGTAATTTCATCAATAATGTGAAGTAGAATACGAAGAAGAAGACGTCACTTCACCTTACATAGGACACAAATATAACGATGTTTCAATATTATCAATATTCAACTCAACTCTCACAAACATTGAATTGCCTGAATTTCTGGCTCTCATGAATAGTTCAGTTTACTTACTGGTGATTCACCTGAACCGATAACCCTTTTCTTGTTATTATCAGACAATGTCAATCATCGTTCAATTGGAAACTTGCCTAATTCCAGACAGTGTCAACACGCCTTCACACCATTCTCTAATTCACTCACATATACAATGCCAAATATCACTGCTTCTCTGTCACTAAACCAGTATGAGTAAAACTAACCATTTTATCAATTATTAACACTTCAATACCCGTGGTACGCATATCATGACAGATTTTATGTGAACAGATGAGTTTGAATTCCCAACTGATATCTCAATTGAATGTAGATCAGATTTCTCCATTCAGCAAACCAAATTACTGCAAATATATCAATGTGTCACAAGAATTTCAGTCGAAATTCAATAACCTACATGCTAGTTCATACAACACAGAAATTAGATAGTAATTGAGAAAGAATTCTATTACACGATCAACTGCACACAAAGCATTGACCATTCCATCACTGTACAACAATTACATAGTCACTAACTCACCAGTCGCCTCTTGTACTAAGAAAATCGAAATCAATGACACAATACCGATTAACATATCAATTCAATCTGATACCAATTCAAATTTCAGCTACATTAATACTTCTTCATTAATGGAATGAGTGAAAGACATGTTATGACTGAACATATAGTTTGCTTAGTGTAAATAATTTATTTAACTAACAAAACGCTTTATTTACCTTCAATTCACGTGTCATGCAATTCGATAATAATTTGATGATAATCGAATCGATTAATCACATTTAATTCTCACATATATAGCGGGAACATATGGAAGTGAAAACAACTGTCAACCAACATCAACGTCAAAATCTTCAACACGAGAGCCAACACAGTTGGATCAGTTGAACGTAGCTGAAATTTCGAGAATGAACATGACCATCATCAAAAATGTACAATATGCATAAACAATTGTCTACTCAAGATACTCAATGTTCAATGGCCGGATACCATCGGCAACAGACTACTGTGGGAGATAACATAACAGCTTCCAGATCTACAGAAATTTAGAAAATACGATGAAGGTGGATAGGACATATATAACAGAAAACATTAAACCACATCACGAAGCAAGCGCTTACCTGGATTCCTGAAAGGAATCGAAAAACAGGAAAATCAAAGAACACACGGAGTAGAGAATTGGAGACAGACATGGAAGAGATGAATAGAAACTGGAAACAACTGGAAAGCATTACCTAGGACAGAATTCAATGGAGAATACTGGTGTGTGACTAACGCTCCTCGACGTGGACAACAGGCGTAAGTAAATAAGTATATAACGGTGAAAAGATTGTATAAACACGAAAGTGGTTGCTTCATTGCTGTTAATTTCTACTATTAAAATTCATCTAACAAAACAATCATAATGTTCCACTAAACAGACATTCAATTATACAACTCGTCACTCTTAATTGTAAACTGAGAGATATCACAGATACCCAGTCAAGCAATCTCAAATAATGCACACTTTATTGGAAATAACTTCGGCTTTCACTTATAATCCACTGTTATATAATTAATATTTCATTTCGGGCATCCTCAATTGAATCAACACCAGTGTCAAGAGGTGTCAGCTCTTGTTAATGCATTCTATACTCTTTCAAATTTTATCTGGCTAATCGCATCTCAACAAACAACTCAACACTATGCACCAATATAATTCACTCCAATTACGTAAGAAGAAAGGGAATTAGATATTGAATTATATCATCACCACGACAAATGATCTAATTGATTATGCCTTTCAGTATCCAGTTGACTTACCTTATCGAATGGGTTAGTCATATGAATATTTCCTTTTTTGTGCAATGATAATCGACATGTATTTCTTCGTATTCTAATAGCTATATTCATTTTTCATCAAACAAATCGGTTTGTTGTGAGAAGGAATGCGGAAGAGTTGTGGTTGATATATATTTCTAACGAGAAAGTAGACAACAGAAGTAATAATGAAAAGAAGAAAATTTCTTTCTAATGTCAGATAATTCAAGTTCACTTGACCGACCAAGTTACTATTTGCATTTTAATAAATGTGATTAAATGATAGACACAATGTTTTACTCATTTAATCACTTGTTTGCTATGCAAAGTTTATGACTGGCTGTTGGAAATGAACGGACGACATTTCGTTTTGTATCTCTTAACCAAACATGTAGCGAACGCCCTTCTATTTCACATGGAAATTACTAGTTTAATGAATGTATGAAATTTCATTGAAGAACAGAATTTAAGCTGTAATAATCAATTTGACTATGTATGTGTGAAGTTGTTAGTAAGTAGTAATGTTGGATGTCAAGTAAGTTGAGAGATTATTCCCTCGATTCAACAAGCTTTTCACAAGTGTGTCAGATACACTGATTTTGCACATCAGGTTGTTGGTATGTTTGAAGCTATATATATGTCACAATCTGTTGCTAACTTTCTACTTAACTTGTCTGGGGAGCTGTATATTTTCACTTAAGGTGTAAAGCCAGTGATAGTCGATCAAATTGTTCTCATCGTTGATGAGTTCTAACTAACATAGTCAGAGGTATTGTTGTTATAACGACGACTTGATTAGAGTAAACCAATTTATTGCATTAGTTTAACTCACTCTGCTTTTGAAAACAATACATCGAGTATGCTATTTGCACATCTTCGTTGTATTGTCTCTCACGAACTCAACAGTTCTTCCATTCCTGTTGCTACTCTCATCATACTTGATTTTCCTTCTCTTCTACTCATGCTCCTCTTCTGTCAGTAACAATCATACTTCCAATTCTGTTCAATCTGTTCAGATAAGTGGCACACATCACAGTGTTTGTTGTTAATAAGTATCCAGTGTCTGATTAAATATTCAACTACTGTTGCACACAATCCCATTTATCGTGTGACTTTTTCATGTGTAATGAATATCTTTGTCTACAATTTAGAAATTGCTCAAGTGGCTGTTATCTCTCAGAATGTTTATTGTAGAATTATGATAAGTGCAATTATGTGGTATTTTGTAAACATGTATGCGATTCTGTAATTTATTAACTAATTAATTAATGGAAAGTTCAATTGCATTTACTGACCTTCCAAAATTCCTACGTAATTAAATCTACACCTTCATTGAATATGCTGTTTAATTGTTAAAATTACTCATGGTGGATACATAACACTATGTCGTTGTGGTTGTCTGTTAGCATGATGAAAACGATATACAGTATCTGGCTATCGGTATAAAACAACCAATCCCTTTCCCTTATACATTTAATAACTGAACAGAATCCTGTTCAATTGCTGTGACATAAATCAGATTCAGTTATCAAGTTAGTACTAAATATTTATTTATATATCAGATTTTGTTGAAGAAAGTGATTTTAGGGAAACCAATAGTTATTTTGATGACGATGCTATTGCAACTACACCAAAGTGGTATCAAAGAATTACATGCAAATGTACACCTTTAATACTAAGTGATTGGAAATAAGAAGGGAATCAACAATTTGGTGAGAGAATCGACAGCACTTCAATCACAGTTCCTAAGATGACAAATCTTCTGTTGTCATGATCATATATTTGATGGATCGGATAGTAAGAATATGTAAAATGTCAGGATGTATTAATTGTTGTAAGTAGGGATGTGAATTGATGAAGATCTATGTACGGAAGGTTGTACGGTTGATGCATGAGCGTCTGTATATCTGTGTGCTTATTTAAACAGTTCACTTACAGTTGTACTTATTTTGTTATTAAAATGGAGGGTTGATGTAGAATGAGAGAGAGAATTCCTGATTTTCATGTTGCCAAGCTTGCTATTATTGGATGAGTTCAGAATGAGGCAGCACAACAAATCCCATCTATGTAGAGTCGAACGGTCTTTGGTTTATTCACGTCTGTTTCAGTCGGACAGTGTAGCCGAAATTATGTAGACATTTGACGTACTTTTCATCACAGCACGATTTGATTTGTTATTGATATCTACCAGCCATGTAATGTTGAATAAGATTGATGGAAATATATAGATTCTGTGAGATGAATAAGGTGCTGGACTTTTATCATCATTTAAAACAACCTGAGTCATAAATTGATATTATCAGTTGTAAATATTTGATCGACAGTCGTTCTAAACTTTCCATAATTATTTGTTGTTGAATTGATTGGTGTAAGTTATCACGTAGAATATGAATTATCCGTAAAAGCAATGAGTAAGGTCCATTTGTTGAAAATATGTTTAGAGATGTTTGTGAGAGCGTAATAACCAAATGAGTCGTTCTATACAAAATGTAATCTCGAAACAGAAAAATTTCCGAAACCAAACAGTTGATGATACTAAGATGACAACATATGATCACAGCTGACTAACATTACATAACAGCATTTCCAGTCTGTCATGATTTAAACAGATCTGTGCATTCATTTGTCTATTTCTAAACCTAAATATTCAGATATTAACTATTTATGATGATACACTATGGAATATCACAATCATATGAGTGTAGTCAGGAGAGCGTATCATAGGTAACAGTTGTGTAATAGAATGGAATAGCACGTATTGTGATCAGCTAAACGCGACTGATATTGCTTGCAAACAAACTCCCAACGAACACGTCCATGTGAAATGGGAATTCACAAACTGGTCCAATCATTTCATGAAATCGAAATAGCGATAACACGAAAGCGGAAACAGGTCAAAGTTTCACGAAACAAATCACTACGAATGATGGACAATTGATTTCCAAATTTTTCACATGAGAATACATCTAACATTATGTGTATTTGTTCTCTCTTGAAGATTGAGTAATGATCAAGGGTACATTAATCAGATATTAAAACATATGTAAAAGTGACATGGATGAAATAGCTACATTTTCAGCATTCAAGTTTCTTTCAACAGGATAGAGTGTGGAGAAATAATTTATGACCACGTTATCTGATTTGTGACCATAATTCCGAAATAATATTGTATGAATTAGTTAGATACAATAGTTTTATTGATTGATAAGCACTAGGATTGATTCAATGAACTAGTAGATTACAGATTGATTATGTATCATTTAGAAACAACTCCGTGTAAGTGATTTAATTAATTAGATCATTTGTCGTGGTGATGATATAATTCAATATCTAATTCCCTTTCTTCTTACGTAATTGGAGTGAATTATATTGGTGCATAGTGTTGAGTTGTTTGTTGAGATGCGATTAGCCAGATAAAATTTGAAAGAGTATAGAATGCATTAACAAGAGCTGACACCTCTTGACACTGGTGTTGATTCAATTGAGGATGCCCGAAATGAAATATTAATTATATAACAGTGGATTATAAGTGAAAGCCGAAGTTATTTCCAATAAAGTGTGCATTATTTGAGATTGCTTGACTGGGTATCTGTGATATCTCTCAGTTTACAATTAAGAGTGACGAGTTGTATAATTGAATGTCTGTTTAGTGGAACATTATGATTGTTTTGTTAGATGAATTTTAATAGTAGAAATTAACAGCAATGAAGCAACCACTTTCGTGTTTATACAATCTTTTCACCGTTATATACTTATTTACTTACGCCTGTTGTCCACGTCGAGGAGCGTTAGTCACACACCAGTATTCTCCATTGAATTCTGTCCTAGGTAATGCTTTCCAGTTGTTTCCAGTTTCTATTCATCTCTTCCATGTCTGTCTCCAATTCTCTACTCCGTGTGTTCTTTGATTTTCCTGTTTTTCGATTCCTTTCAGGAATCCAGGTAAGCGCTTGCTTCGTGATGTAGTTTAATGTTTTCTGTTATATATGTCCTATCCACCTTCATCGTATTTTCTAAATTTCTGTAGATCTGGAAGCTGTTATGTTATCTCCCACAGTAGTCTGTTGCCGATGGTATCCGGCCATTGAACATTGAGTATCTTGAGTAGACAATTGTTTATGCATATTGTACATTTTTGATGATGGTCATGTTCATTCTCGAAATTTCAGCTACGTTCAACTGATCCAACTGTGTTGGCTCTCGTGTTGAAGATTTTGACGTTGATGTTGGTTGACAGTTGTTTTCACTTCCATATGTTCCCGCTATATATGTGAGAATTAAATGTGATTAATCGATTCGATTATCATCAAATTATTATCGAATTGCATGACACGTGAATTGAAGGTAAATAAAGCGTTTTGTTAGTTAAATACATTATTTACACTGAGCAAACTATATGTTCAGTCATAACATGTCTTTCACTCATTCCATTAATGAAGAAGTATTAATGTAGCTGAAATTTGAATTGGTATCAGATTGAATTGATATGTTAATCGGTATTGTGTCATTGATTTCGATTTTCTTAGTACAAGAGGCGACTGGTGAGTTAGTGACTATGTAATTGTTGTACAGTGATGGAATGGTCAGTGCTTTGTGTGCAGTTGATCGTGTAATAGAATTCTTTCTCAATTACTATCTAATTTCTGTGTTGTATGAACTAGCATGTAGGTTATTGAATTTCGACTGAAATTCTTGTGACACATTGATATATTTGCAGTAATTTGGTTTGCTGAATGGAGAAATCTGATCTACATTCAATTGAGATATCAGTTGGGAATTCAAACTCATCTGTTCACATAAAATCTGTCATGATATGCGTACCACGGGTATTGAAGTGTTAATAATTGATAAAATGGTTAGTTTTACTCATACTGGTTTAGTGACAGAGAAGCAGTGATATTTGGCATTGTATATGTGAGTGAATTAGAGAATGGTGTGAAGGCGTGTTGACACTGTCTGGAATTAGACAAGTTTCCAATTGAACGATGATTGACATTGTCTGATAATAACAAGAAAAGGGTTATCGGTTCAGGTGAATCACCAGTAAGTAAACTGAACTATTCATGAGAGCCAGAAATTCAGGCAATTCAATGTTTGTGAGAGTTGAGTTGAATATTGATAATATTGAAACATCGTTATATTTGTGTCCTATGTAAGGTGAAGTGACGTCTTCTTCTTCGTATTCTACTTCACATTATTGATGAAATTACGAAGAATATGTTATGATTTAGCATCAATTAGCATCACACGATATTACCATTTATTGTTGTTGTTGTTTTAGGAAAAGGAGGTAAGTGGAACAGAATAATGTGAAATGTTACTCATGAGTGTCAATTACTAAGTGAATCAAACACAGAATGGTAACACGAATAGTCGCAACAATGTTTAGTGCAAATAATTTTGTGTTCAGAAATCTGATACGATAAACTGTTTGCATGATATCTTATGGAATATTTGCCTTCAGTAAGGTGACATTATGAGAAACAGTCTGAGTAGTGTGTATCTCTGTGTTTCTCACAGATGAGTTAAAACAGTTTTTAAGGTTTTAGCATTAGAGGATATGAATGAAACATATTCTGTAAGAAGTAAGTGTGTAAGTTGATCACATCCATCATATTGATAATAACTACTCATGATATTGAAGCGTTGTAGGTAGTTATGATTGTTCATTTCATTCAAGTCGACAATAGATATACTGACTATCAGTAATTTAACATCAATGAATAGATTTGCTCTGTTCCATTCTAATCAGAACATTACAACACAAACTATCGATGTTGATTTTCGTAATGTCAATGATTTTGTTAGTGATCTTCGATGTGGAGTAAGCATAATAATTATTTTGTTAATGTCATTAATTCACCTGATATATTCTCTGTCTCATTTGTCCTTCTCTCTTCCAATGTATGTTTATTCAGGAAGTGTTCACTTTAGACATACTATTTACTAATGTGTTCTACTGTCTCTGAGTGTATGGGACACAAAATATGGGAGAATTGGATTCACTAGTTTACTATTTAGTTTGACTTTATTTTCCGAGAACAATTAACTTGCTACTTAAAAGCTAATATGAATATTGTATTGACTGAGATATTCTTGAATAGTTGGGGTAGAAATCCTCTTTGTTTAATTGGTTTATCGATGATGTCATTTGTAATCGAAATGTGAATTTAGCGATGGTCAGTAAATATTGACTTATTAGGTTTATTTTCATTTGTCAATTTATGTGATTGTTAAGATTGACGATTCATGAACTATGTTTCACAGCTGAGTTTGAAATTCGTTTGGTTGTCGTCGATTGCTGGATGACACTGATCAACTATTTAGTCCTAGTATGATATTGCTCAATAGCGTTTAAGTAGAACTTCATCACGGATCAAAACTAGTGGCAGCTTCCAACCTATCTCCCTCACGTCGTAGATTACAAATGTGGTTTGTGCTACATTATCCAAAAATGAGGATCATATTTATGAAGAATTACTCATTAGTTAGTTGTCGATTTTGGTATCATGCGTGTAAGGTTGGTAGGTGAAAATCCGAACTTGATGTTATTAGTCACTTCGAAAGGTTAAATAGTGAGTTCTTCCAACATGAATACTACTTCATATTTGAGCGTGACTTGTCTTATTCAACTGTGTTACATTTGTGTTTGATAGATTCAACATAGTTGGTAAAAATTACACCGGAAATATTCTGGGAAACATGTTAAGTAGATGATATCTACCTCAAGAATTTGAATGGAATCTGGTGAAGTTATGTTAAATGAATGTCAGGGATAGTTCTGATAACATTCCATCATCACGTTCCTCTCAATTCAGCCTCATATTATAATGCTAGATATTGTGATTTGTTATTAATAATTGAAATATGCATGAGTAATCAATGTGGTTGACAAATTCTTGTTCAAGAATCCTTATTTTGGATACGTGGTAAGTTGGATGTCACTCTTCAATTCTAAATCTTTTATTACTGAAGTTATTATAAAACACAATCAATGGAAGTGATATTTTTCTTATTTCGTTGATTATTGTTATATTGATTTGGGAATTCATGATGTGTGTTTGATTCAATTGTTGGCTTGCCAACTGGATGGGATCTGATTTAAGTATTGACTTACAGAATAACACATGTATCTAATGTTTATACTCTTTTTCATTATTTAGCACAGGCAAGAGATACTTAAGTGAAGAACTATTTCGAAAATGTGATCTCATCATAGTCTAAATAATGTATACCTCATTGTAGATTTCTAGTATTATAACAAGATGAGAAATTAGTCATCGTTAATATATTCCATTATCCTGAATCATATTAACGAGAGATGATTGTCACTTATCAATTTACATAGTACACATGGATGCTTATAGCTTCGAGTGTTTCATATTTGTTGGATTTTCACTGCCCGTTATTTCGGTACTCAGATGACATTTATCTGTGCCTTGAAAATAAACATTTCACACGCATCCGTAGAGGCTCATCAAATTTTTATTACTGGTTATTGAATAGTTGCTGAGATGATCTTGTTTAAAAGCACCAGGATCATTTCAGTAAATGAGCACTTCCTTTAGTCATCTACATTATAAGCAATAATTCCATTATTATATCTCTTTGCAGGACCAATTTATACACACGTTTGGCTGACACTTGGAAA